ATTAATCACTTAGTTCAGCGCAGGAGGGCGGCAATTTTTCTGATTGTCCACGGCTGTGCGTGCGTACTCGAATACCGAAACGAGTGCGATTATACATCACTGCGATACGAGAAGCTCAAAAACTAACAAACTTATTAAAGTCACACTGTAGTTTGTGCATTAGCTGCGGGTCGTGCGCGTCTCAAATCGAATATTATATCACGTGTACGTATAAGCGTATACGCGGATGGGATCAAAGCTCCTTCGGCGCACCGATACGATGATTTTTTTTCTTGCTCCTTCTTCGGTTCTCTTTAATTCCACCGTACGCGGCTGCTGCTGCTGCTGCAGCATTGCCGAGCGCCAGGACCTCATCCTCTTTATCTCTCTCTCTTTCTCTGTCTCTCTTCATCCTTCAAATCTCTTAAAAATATATATAGATATATGTATATACGCGAACAGCTGCGGAGCTTTGCGACGACGACGACAACTGCGACTACCGGAGAACATCAATCGTGCTGCGTGCAGCAGCGCACACGTTGTCGTGCTCGTCCTCTCTCTCTCTCTCCCTTTCTCATTTTTCGCTCGTTTATTTATATTATATTATATCGTCTTCGAAGAATACATCGCGCACGCGCCCGATAAATCACACCTTCAAAAAGCCGCGCGCGTCGCGCAAACTTATAAGCCGCATATACGCGCACACGAAATATTTATACCCAGCCGATAAGCAGCATCATCGTCATCGTGGTTGCCGAGCCTAGGTCCAGCCTCTCTCTTTTTTTTTGTACTTTTTTACATCCTCCCCACTTAAGATATGTTTACCCAAAAGGTTTCGGATATAAATTTCAAACTCTTTTATGTATCCCTGACACAACGCGGCTTGTGCGCGGCTCTTCGATTATATATAATAATGTCGCGATGCGGCGGCTCTCGGAAGCGACTCGCGCGATGCGATGCGATGCGACGGGGGCATGCGTATATTACATACGCGAAATTCCGTAGAGAAAAAAATAATATACCGTGCGTAGTACATCTCTGTATAATGCGCGCGAGAGGCATATTATATACATGTCCGAAGCTGCTGCTGGTTTATAATGTATTATACGCACGAGTTCTCGGCAAAAATACCCAGGTGGACTTTTTGCCAAAATATTTTCGAAATAATTAACTCTCGCGCGCTCGCGGCCTACTCGGAGCTCGTCGCTCGTTCAGCTCGATCTGACCATCTTCCTCGCGTTTTCATTATATATATTACAATGCCTCGCTATGCTGCTGTCGCTGAATTTGGCTCTCGCGTGGAAAAAATTAATATAATGGATTGTAACAATGCCTCGTTGAATTTTCGCAAAAAAATCGACTCACCTACCCGTTGCATTCAGCTAGGATAAGTCACAGCAGCAGAGATATGTTTAAGAGCTATGTTACATCGGATATGTGTATGTTTGTGCGCGCGAGTGTATTATATCTCTTAGAGCAAGAGTCCAGAGATTATTCTCCCTCTTCGCAGCGTCCGCGTGCTGCTGCCGTCGTTGCCGCTACGGAGAGCTCTCTGCGTGGACTCCGCCTTGTAGCCGAGCTCCGGCCGCGCTCGGAGAGCCATGCGCGTTTTCAGGGTCGTCTTAATTACCGGGTGGTCCAGTTCGGAACCCCATAAATATATTGCCCAAGCGCGCCTTTTACCTCGCTTCTTCTTCTCTCTTACCAGCTCGCGCACTTCTCTTTTTCTTTCGTTTCTTCTCTTTATTTCGCTTCTTTCTTTCTATCTCTCTCTCTCTCTCTCTGTCTCTCTTCTCGTGCGAAAAAGAAAGAGATTCCGCACGATGCCTTCGCTCTTTATCCATAAATATGCGCTCGGAACGATCCCGAAGCTTTGCTTCTTCGCGTGTACTTATGTGTGTGTGTGTGTGTGTGTGTGCACATCCACATACGTCTTTACTTCGATTCTTCGTTTATATGCTGCTCTGCGGTGCACACACACGGGTGCGTGTATAAGAAATTAGACATACAAAAAAATTTCGTACGTAGTATATTGCCCGGGCTAATTAATAAATCCGTAGCGGGTACGAGGGAGAGAGAACGAGCTTGTAATATTCCTTACGTACACATACGTACACGGACTTACACGTATAATATACCGAAGGGCAATTTTTCATGCGTTATTACTCGAGTTACATTATAATACGCGCAACAGCGAGAGGGAGAAAAGAGGATCCTCTCGAGATGCTCCTCGCGCGCGCGCTGTGTTTCTCTTTAATGCTATGCCGCGCTGGAATTCGTGTGTATATATAATAATATAATAATGTGCACGTACAACGCACAGAAGGTGCTGCCTCGCGTTTCTTTTTTCTTTCCTGCTCCTTTTATTGTTTTTTCACTTATCAACCGAATTACACACACACACACACACACACACACACACACGCATACACTCAAAAAGTTCACGGGTTAATTACATCGCTGCGCGGACACACACGCAGATTCACGCACGAGCGTATACAAGAGCGATCGGCAGTGGTGAATGCATAGTCATCGTTTTTGATCTTATGGGAAAGATCAACTCGCGTATCGTCGCAAGCATTCCTCTACAATATTAATGTTGACATTGCTCACATAAGACGATAATTCCTCTTAATGTACACGGTATTCGAGTGGGTCAGCAATCATATTTTCAATTGTTCGCGGTATTAACTGTGGAGATCGTAATTAATTTTCGCTCCTGCGCAACGCAGGTCGCTTATGGCTATTTTGATTCACTGGAAAAAGAGAAGAGAGAGAGGACAAAAAAAAAACAAATTTATAGATACACACAAAATAAAACGCAGGAAGAAGACATCACACGCGCACACACAGATCAAGACTTCATCAAACAATTATTATAATGTTATCCGTCGTGGGCGGCGGCGTATACATACAAGAGAAATCAGCAAATCAAAGTCAGCAACGCATTTTGATTTGTCATTCAGAAAATAAACTCGTCGTTAATTTTTATATTGGACCCAATATGTATATAGGATGTTATACAAACGATCCGCAGCGACGACGAAGCGATCGAGGCGATCGAGCGCGCAGAAAACTCATTCGACTCGTTCGTGTGTGCTGTGTCGCGCGCGTGTGATGTCTACGCTCGGGATTTCGTAGAAATGATTAGTTTGCCTATGTATACCGAAAAACATTTCCGAATGTCCAGCGACGGAGAGAGAGAGAAATCTGCATCTCGCGTACATTACATACCTATACCTTGTATTTCGCAGATTCGATCGATCGATCGTATTGGTCAAATGTCGAATTAGCAATTAGTTCGTTGCACTTTGAACGAGTGTATATAATTATTACGCGCCGACCTCCGGTTGGCCTCCGCGACGCGTTGAAATTCCTAGAAATTTCGCGCACACAGTGTACAATATCGGTCAATTGCGACCAATCCAATTTTACAACATATCCTATTTATAAAAAAAAGCTTCGAATCGTCGATCGACGTTTTTCACCTTCGCGCGACGCGGACAAGCGTGAAATTACATTACACGTATCGGTAAAAAAAATATTAATAATTATTCGAGGATCAGCAAAACATGCATTAATCTCCGGTGCGATTCGCGCTGTCTCGATTATATTTATTAATAACACATATAGGTCACGCACATGCTCGTACGCGAATCGGTCTGCTTACTCAGAACTGCGCTCGCTCGACTCGCGATTACGTTATATACGGCAAATATCGACCCAGGAATACAATCATGTATTATTGATTTTGCGTACACGACGACGACGATTACGATGTTGAGGCACGTACACGGATCGCGAGAAAATTCACACAAACAATATAATATGATAAATAGGCATATAGGCATACAAACATAGGAGAATAATAGTATTTACAATATAATATAAATCGCCGCACGGAGGATTCCACGTAAAGAGGAAGTTGTGCTCTTTCTTTCCCTCGTTCACTCGCTAACTCGCACTCGTGTGTGCGTGGGTGCGCCGCGAGCGAGTGCAAAGAATAGAGTTCGCGCACCGACCTTATTTCCTTTTTCTAGACCGTTCGCGCGCGAGCTTTTAGCTTCGAAGTCGCGCGAGAAAAGCTCGAAGCGATCGCGAAGTAACTCGAACTGTCAAGTTCTTTTTGAAAAAATAAATCAATCCTATAATCGAATTAACATGATCGCATCGCAGAAGTCACGGGTACATCCGTTTCTTTTTTTTTCGCCCGAAGCTCGTATACACGCACACGAGGTATTAATAACGTAATTCAATTTGGACGCGGGTATACACTCGAGCCAGATACGATCGGTACACACACACATATAATGTATGAATAAACGCGGAAATTCAAACAGGAAATTTATACGATCGGATCTCGATCGACCGATGATGAATTAATTCGCGTTGTTTGGCGTGCGCCGTGCGACACTCGTATACCAATGTAATGTAGTATACCAGCCCAAAAGTTTATAATACCCAGCGGAGATCGACCGCTGCTCTTCTCGTGCGTGGCGTATTATTTTAACATAATTATACAACCGCTGGTTCGAGATTAGCCCAAGTTTTTGACGTGTATTATACTTGATCCTTTCTAGGAAAAGACCTAGAAATTTGGCATGAATGTGTATGCATGTGTTTAAACGCACGCGCACTGAAAACGTGCGTTTTTTTTCTTTCGTGATTTTTTTTTTTTTTTTTTAATAATGATCGCATGGAGGGGAAGAAGTCAAGAAAGTTTTTAAATCCTATTCGGTCTGCTGCATTAGTAATAATAATTAAAACTAGATCATTTGTTAATGTAACAAAAAAGTCATTTATTCCATTTTTATGAGAAAAACAAAGAGTTTTGAAGTACAGTATTTTCTTTTAAATCACAAGCTTCGAATTGCAAAAATTCGCGTAAAATTCTTAATCGACTAATTATTACACTCGAATCATATTCACTCGAACACTCCGATCGTATAAATAAGTTTAGTTATAAATATTAACTTAAGTATCGACATATTTGATCCTAAACAAAAAAAACTAGCTGCAGCTTAGTGTCTCCTTCTGTACATGTAGAGGCCGAACACGGTGAGGATGATGGCCACCAAGACGATGGAAGTGACGACGAGGGTCGACTTGACCTTCGAGTTGACGTCGGCCAAGCCGGCCTTGATGATTTCTTGGATCTCTTCCTTGGTGGCTGGGCCAGAGGGTTTCGGGGTCTCGGTTGTGGCGGTTTCTTCTCCGGGGTTTGCGTTATTTGGTGCTACTGTAGTGGTGGCGTCTTCTTTTTTGTTGCCTTCAACTGGTGGTGTCGTAGTGGTGGTGGTGGTGGTGACTTCTTCTTTTTTGGCGGTTACAACTGGTGTTAGTGTCGTAGTGGTGGTGGTGGTGGTGACTTCTTCTTTTTTGGCGGTTACAACTGGTGTTAGTGTCGTGGTGGTCTTGATGTCTTTAACATCCTTTGGGTCAACGGCGGTTTCTGCTGGCTTGGCATAAGCGCATGCAGCCAAGGCTACCAAGAGGAATGCAATCTTCATCGACTTCATGGTTATCTGCACAAATTCAAACTTTATTAGTTAATTCAAAAAATGTTGATAGAATGATTTTATACGACTGAGTTTTTATTTTTTTTTTTTTTTAAAGCAAAATTCGAAAATAGAAATGATAACTTTGAGCTTAAATGGTAAAACACAAGAACTATGTTATTCGAATGTACTGATTCTTGATTCAACACATCTATTTTTTTCGTTCACAGTTGGTTCGATGCTCGAAGCAAAGCATTGCAATAATTTTTTTTTTTTCGAACTACACTGCGGAGCACAAGTAAAAAATTATTGTCACTTAATTTCTTATAGTGTAAATTTATTAAAAACCATTCGTGAACGAAAACTGCGATTTTTTTCAACTCAACCGAGGTGCGAGAAATAATTGAGGATTACTTTTTGCTTGTTAACGACTCGTGCGAACTTGTATCACCACTGGATCACGAACTTATGGCGTTAACAATTTTTCGCAGCTCTTTTATATGGAAGTCTCGAAGCGGGAGAGCGTCGAGATTTGATAAACTTCCTCGCACAGACGCCCGCAAATACGAACCGTAATAGAGTCGACAGAGATAAAATGAAAAAATAATCTTATCGAATTTGACGCACCGAGATTTTATACATATAGATCAATATCTGCGCCTGCTTGCGGCACGACGAGCGTAGAGTTTAACGTTTTTAACTTCAAGGTAAAGTCGATCAGCCTTTGGAAAAATATAACATTTTTTAGCTTCTTCGCAAAATCATTGCCTTGTAATCTCTTAAAATCGAGTACATCTCGTACGCAATTCAAATTTTTGAGCTTCTCGACGTATGACGAACGTATGCAGAATTTGAGAACAATTATTCGCACCTGAGATTGTGTGCGCCATTTATTAGGAACGTCTATCGAAACTCGGTACATCGACGTACATCGGCGTTCAAAAGTTTTTTTTTGGCCTCAGATAAGCAGCACCGATGAAAAATTTATGTAAACACATTTCGGAAAGGGGTCATCGTACTCGTCGAAGAACTCTTATCGATCGGAAATTAATTAATTTTCCCTGTACAGTGATTGACTCCAAATTGCCGAAGTGTCTGTGACTCTAAATCCCAATATAAATAAGCAAAAATTAACAAAAAAAAAATCGTTCGAAGTAGCATATCTCAGGCGCGAACATTTTTTTCCGTCAAATATGGCCATAGATTATTGTATCGAGTAGCAACCGATAAAGCATTCGAGTTATTTGGCGCTACGATGCGTATGTACGATGACACGAATTTTTTCGATCTCATTCAGAAAAATAATCGTTTAATTGGCATAGATTGTCGTCAGTGGAATAGCACCACCACCTCATAGCCTCTCAACTATCGAGCACTCCAAGAATTTTTTTTCCTCAAAAAAAAAAAATAAATAAATAAAAACAGTCAAATAATTAGTACACGAACGTAAAAAAAGATTCGCGACGATACGTATACGTTACATGGACAAACAGCACTCGATTAGAGTTTATTGCACATGACGCACTGGGTAAACGTATCGCGCGCGTACCCATTTCGGCAATAATAATCGCGATGTAACACATACTTTCCTAAGCCGCCAGTAGTAGCAACAGAGAGAGATATAGATGGAAGAATCCGTGGCACGTGTTTATTATTATTTTACCACCCAATATATCGGCCAAGAAATAACCCTCGTTCTGCGTAATACACGGGAAAAAGAATTTTTAAGGCAATCGCTGCCGCTGCTGCTAAATACATAATATCACGGTTGCCGCGCGCTAATATGTGTCGAAGCGAAAATTTCCAGCCAGAACTCGAGCAATGCTCTTTTTCTCCTCTTCCCTCTGTGTGTCCTTTGCGCGCGCGCGCGCCCCGGCGCAGAAAAAGAGTATCACTTTCGTCGTTTTCGACACGTAATATCATACGTACTGGTATATAAGCTCACGCTTGCTAAAGGGCCGTAGCAGCAGCAGCAACAGCGGTGGCAAACGCCGAAAGAAGGAGAGAAAGGAGAGATAGAGAGAAAAAGAGAAGAGGCTGACATTAGCCATATGATGGGCGGCAAGCATCAAATAATTTGTACGTATAATAGGTTTACCCTTTGTTGCGGTTCGTTAAAGCGCCACCCACCTGTTACGATCGGCTTTGGCTGCTGCTGCCGCTGCTGTTGCGCGTGCAGGTGAGTGTATTATTGAGGTGGTGGCATGCGACGACTGCACCACACACACACACACACACGCGCGCGCGCGTGAGTTCGACGCGGCTCGTTACATTTTGATCGGCTCTCGGGATACATTATACACGCCGCAAATCGGCTTCGATGCGTTCGTTTGTGTGTTTAGCAATTTCATTCAGAGCCGATGTAATTAATCGAGGAAAAACTCGCGCGCAATTCAATGAAAGGTTAATCTGGTTTTTGACGTATTATATATACGTGTGGCAATTACGAACTATTCAATATAATAATTGACAATGTGTGTTGAGCCATAAAAGTAGTTAAAATAGACACTTGTAAATATTTTTCAATTGAATCACACGTGATAATAGTAGAACCTCGTTTACAACGTGGACGTCGATTGTAATTAATAATTTTTTGTCTAATTTTTGGAAGCCTTTGTACACGCACGTGTCGATAACAATCGCGTGCACTTATAGATGATTTTTATTATTGCCACTGAAACTAAATTTAATTAATACTACCACAATATTGTAACGATGTAACGAATCGATAATAATTTTTTTAGCCCTGAACGAGTGCGACTCGTTGATTGATAATTTCGTTCGTTTCAGGGAAAAGATCGAATCGCATTACGCGTGTAATACATCTATATCATAAATTCGCAGCAGTATGCCAGAAGAGCATGAAAATCGGCATGTGTGGGTGATGAAATTTCACTCGGTCGGTCGCGCGACTCTCGCTTGTGAGCTCGCCCGAGGCCCATTCGTATTTTATAATACTATTTAAATTTCGATCTTCGACGGGTATACATACAATAATATGTATATTAATAATCGAATGCGAAACGTCGGTCGCGCGAATCGGGATACACACAATCAATCATCGATGTATCGCGGGACATTATAATCCTTGTTGGTTTATCCGGTGCTCGGCTTCCAAGCTTATGATGCGATGTATACACAATGATCTCTTTATGTGCGGCAATAAAGAGGCATAATATACATCGAATATCGTCATTGGCATCCTCCTCTTATCCTCCGAAGTCACGTTTTCAATTTGTCCACGTACATGTGAATGTATTAGAGTGTACTAGAGTGTAGCTAATCGTGGCCCCTTTTGAACCTCTTCTGTCAGTACCTTATAGATCATCGGCACTCGTAATATTTTCTGTTGCGAGGCAACTTAGTACGAATAACTAACCGATGAACTGCGTGGGGGGATACCAGGCACTGCTAGTAACGGCGTGGTATTGAATTTCTATTAATAATAGAAAATGATGATGAGATTGTAAGTTTAAAAATAACATTGGTTGATAATCATTACGTTGGGCCTGATGAACTTTTAAAGAAAATTTTAAACAGAGAAATTTCAACAATAACCCTTACCTAATCGATATTTTGAGACTATAAATTTGATTTAAACCGAATAAATTTACTTCACAAAATTGTTGGAGCTCATTCTTAAAGGTATTCGTATAAATAATTCAAAAATGTAAGCAAAAATGAAAATATTCGTAAATTTCAAAAGTAGAATTTTATCCTGATAAAAATGTAAAAAATCCTCCTTCCTACATAATAGTACTTTATTATGCATTAATATACTTTATAAAAACCAATTTTCATCAGGCGAAGCGAGAATACAAAAGTGCCCTAGAATTTGAGCAAATAGAATCGAGAACCCAAAGATATAGAATGAACTGTCGATTCTTGGGGAAAAAATTTCTAGTATATTTTTAGATTTGAGTAAGAGAAAGTCAAATTTCTAATACAGACGACGGTATGAGTGGACGTGTGTCTTGTTTCGTGCTACGGTCCCAGCGTAGAATCAGTTGTACGTAGCAGACGTTTGTAGCTAGATGCAAACTGCTCAAAACTTTTCAAGTGTGATCAAATTCTGAAAAATAACAATTTAAAATTGTCATTTTGTAAAAAATGGCAAACGCCGTTCAACACTCAAGCTATATGGCCGAATACGAAGTACTAAAGTACGAAAGTACTTCATATGTAGATGGTAACCGTGTTATTTATTCACAGCCATCATCAATTATCGGTCCGCATAACAGATTTCATTTAAAGATTGTCGGTGAAAGAACGCCGATAACACGTGTTAAATCAAAATCAAAGGAAAATGCAGTAATATTGCAGTTGCGTGCATGCTCCAGAGTGAAGTACAAGTTTGTTTATGAGGTAAACGTTGCCTCTGTAATAGAAAAAACTCATCTCTACACGAAAAAAGGTTGTGCAATTCTTGAATCAAATAGAATCCCAGTTTGTGTAACATCTATCGATTTGAATGTAGGCCAACGTGCTAGATGGTTTTTTAAAATATTACCATTGTCTAGTAATGACAGTGGATTTTCCTTGAATGAAGACTCAACGAATAAATTGAATTTCGACTGGCTATTTCTGAATGAAAATTTGAGCGATGTCAAGCTACTGACTATGTGTGGAAAAGAAATACCTGCGCATAAAGTCGTGCTCGCCTCTGCCAGTCCAGTATTCAAAGCTATGTTCTGTCACGATATGTTGGAAACCAAAAGTCAAACAGTTGATATGGCCGATATTAGTCACGATGCTGCACTCGCGATGATGCGATACATCTACACGGGTAAATTAGAGATTCCAGAACTATCCTTGGCAGCTGAAATTTTGAAGGCTGCTGACAAGTATCTAATTGAAGATTTTGAACGCATCTGTCAGCAAAAATTGATCTCCTGTATATCTACTGAGAATGTTATGAAATTGCTAAAAATTGCTGATACATACAACTTGAAATTTTTAAGAGAAGAAGCAATGGAATTTATTATAATTAATATAAATAAATTAACGACCCGTGATGCTAT